ACACGGCCTGCCTAGAACGCGAGATAACTCTGACAAGTTTCAGAAAGTGTTTCGATTGCCCCACAACCTACTCTGTATATCACGCTAAGGCGAAGTGAAGCAAAGTTTCATTCGCAGTGCGCGTATACTGGTCGTCCAGCTTCCGGTTCCAGTGGTCCATCACTGCATGTCGGCGAAGGCAAGTCGAGGAGCCCGCGTTCTCGACTGCCGCGCCAGTCTACCGCTCCCGTTCGGACACTCGGTTAATGCGTTACACCAAAATTAAAACAAAGAAACAAGCAAACAAACAAACAAATAAAAAAAAATAAAAAAAAAATAAAAAAACTACGTGCGGCGAGGTTTGGTGCTAGGAAAGCGTCAAGTAGGAACAAAATAGCCGGTGTAAGCAGTGTTAACGAAATAAGTGCGCTGGAGAGCTGGGGGAAGTTTACCATGACGATTTTAAAGGGACCATAGTATGATTTTTCAACTGCTTCCTTAGCTTTAATCCTCAACTCAAAAGCGAAATGAGAAATCAAGTGGTCGTAATGTGCTTGGACACCGGAGTGATAAGTGCCGCCACGACATTTCATTGACCAGGAACGCGAATTCAAATGTTCGTCGACGGATTGATTGTTGACGAGCGCATACGTCCCAGTGACGCAGTGCTCGTGTCCAATGCGTGAGATGGGTTCGCCTCACGTGCTCGGGCACCGCGGATGCATCGCGTTGAAAAAGCGGAGAATTTTCGGAGAGAGAGAGAGAGAGATTTTTTATTGCACAATGATGGCTCTAGGTACGAAATAGTCTGCTATATTTTAAAATTTTCGTACCGAAAACAAGTTTTAGGCTTTCTACACTCGTGCTAAACAGTGTCCCACGCAAAGGTTTCTGGACACTGCTGCCACACCCAGTTGTACAAAGAGGTCACGCATTTAATTGAAGCCGGAAAGAAGAACTTGAAAAATAACATCTGAAAAAGCCCGCAGAGGCAACCGGCGTTTCGCAAGAGACGTAGCTTTTTCAGCTCAGTCTCTCGGGAGAAACGTCGGGTGCCCCTCGACGGCTTCCGAGATGTCCGTCTTCAAACCCGAGGTTCGCTAAGCTTGGTGTGCGCTTTCTTTGCTCGCCGAAGTGGCAGGCCTCGGGCCGCCCGGAGGTTTTTTCATCGCACGCTGAGATCAACGTTTTTGCAAACAGCGAATTGCCGCCTCGGTGGCTGCGAGGAAAAACGCCGGCCTACGTTTCCCCCAATCGTCGGTCTTACGTGCAACCGAGATTTGCACAAAGTCAGAAAAGCCCCAAGTGGTCGAAATGAATCCCCAGTCCTCCGCTGGGGCGTGCCAGGCATACTCCCAAATCTGATTTCCGAGCGGCTAAATGGTTCGTAGGTGGACTCGGGGTTCGAACCCCACGGGGACCCGAATGACCTCACGTGGGCGAGCACGGATAGGTTCGAAGAGCGGCTCCCCGCGCCCCGAAGCGTCGGTTTGTCCGCGCGCGCGCAGCACGCGCCGCTCGAGACGCGAGGTGCTCCAGTGGGGGCTCCCCTCCCGTCGTCGTCCCACAGCTGCGACCGCCGCTTCCGGGTGCGGCCGGAAAACACCGGCGACATCGGGAGGGGGGAACGCCAGGTCGTCGAACCCGGCCGGCCAGGCTACCTGCCGCGGCTGTTCTCCCGCGTACGGAGGGACGAGAGCTCACGCGCCGCTGCCCAGGCCGAATCAGACGGTCGCCCGTCGCTGGACCTGTTGAAAGCTGGGCCACGGCAGCTCTGCCGACTCGATGCCGTTCGCCAAGTTCGGAAAACGAGGGGAAAATGAGGAGCTCCCCCAGTTGCCCACGAGGGCCATCGACATGTCAGCCGTCCAGATTTCCCATCTTCCATATCTCGCACGGCGGTCCCGAAGGGCCGGGCTGATGAAGGAGGAAATCAACATTCAAGAAACGATCGGAAATCGGACACCGGGGACGCTTAAGAAATGAAAGACGCGGTCGACACACTGTCTGCATCAGTTCTAATCGCGTACGGTTTTGTTCCTTTTTTTTTTCTATTGCTGTGTGCACGTCTAAGGAAACTGCTGGCTTTATGTATACACCTCGACGAGAACAAATGCCTAATGAAAGGCCTTCCTTGCACTTTTACATACAGCCGGGGGGGAAAGTTGCCGAGAGATATGGCTGGGACGGTCATTTCCAGTGTTCGATTTCTAAAGCGAAGAGCACGCACCTGCACTGCATTTCTAAACGCCACAATTGTGTATAGAACCAGTTCTTGCGGAACAGGTTCTGCACGTCTATAAAGTAGAGCCTTATAGCAACTGAGCTCGGCGGAGCACGTCAAAAGCTGGGAAGTTGTTGTAGCTTTCCCAACGCTTCAGCTGCTTTTTTTTCTGAACACGCAGTTCTGAAGTGCACCTAAGGTAGCGTGCAGATTCAAGTTCCAAGCATCGATGCAGGCATGGCGGTGGGTGCTAAACAAAAACGAAAGTTAAAAAAAAAAAAAAAAATTTAATGGGAGGTTATAGAGTCGGTACCGTACAATAAAAGAAGCGAATGAATGGACCTAGCCGAACAGGATCAGGCCAACGCTCCGCGAGAGAAAACAGCGGGCCCGGCTCCGAAATAACTCTCCTTTCCGGGAGACTGCGTTTCTGAAGACACGTCAACCTGGAATTCGAAACCCGTTGTAATAATCCGCCCACCGCGAAAAGAAAGAGGCGGGGGGCGCTCTAATTTGCTTCAAAATGGCCAAATCCCGCTGCAGCCTTCGCCGCGTTCCAGCTCCCACCAACAGCCGAGTGAGTAGTCCGGCAGCCGAAACTCGCAACGCAGGCCGAGGAGAAGACAGTCAAGGCCGCGCGGAACGAGCTTGCACTGCTCGAGCGAGAGCCGCGCGGGTTCGATGGAACTTCGGCTCAAAGAACGCAATTTAGTCGCGACCGTACACGCTCCGGCGATCGAAACCGCCGCTGCTCCGTATCAAATTCTCGGACAAAAACCGGTACCGATTCCCCGCGCAGTGTGTGCCACCCTCAATATTGCGCGCACACGCGCGCTCGCGCGCGCGCGCGCGCTGCTGCTTGATTGCACGCGCGAGTGTTGAAAGAAGGAAAGAAAAATACGAGCCGGCGATGTTTCCTCCCTTTAGCGTACCCCGACGCCTTGAGCTTCAACAAAGGGACGAGGAATTCCACGCGGTGACCGACCAATTCGCTTTTCCTCTTGCGCCTCTGGCGAGAGACGAACTCGAGCACAGGATCGCTCCTTCAAAAAAGCTGGACGCGATGTAAGAAAGAAAAAAAAAAAAAAAAAAGCTATATGTATAGCCGAGGTGCGGTAACCGATTAAGGGACCGGAGGCCCCGGGAGACGGGGAAACGAGGTCGCAGCCTGGACTTGGCCCCAAATGAAGCGCGGCGCTTTCCCGGCCAACGCGACTGCGGACACGCCACAATATCGCCACGGAGCTACCGAAAAGACCGGAGCGCGCGGGTGCGTGCAGCTCTCGTGACGCTACGAGCTTCCCAAATCCACGAAAGTGGCGGCTCTAACCACAGGCACGAGTTAGCCCGCGCTCCATGCTTCGAAACGCGTCTTTCTAGCGCGAGCTTTCGTTCCGCGAAAGGACATTGCAAAGCCGCTACCCGGTGTAGCCTTTGCTGCCCCGCAGGCTTAAAGGGATGCTGAACCGAAATATGGATTCCACAAAACACGCGGCAAAAGCGTGCAACGGGATGCTGCTAACACCAAAACATCTCATATACAGCGATATCTCGAACGGATGGCCGTATTTTACAAAAAAAGAAAAAGAAAAGAAAAAGAAAAAGGAGGCGCATTTGACAGGAATGTTCACGTCATGTTTCTCCGAGAAGGAGAGGGAACGGCCTCGCCTCTTCTCCGCCTCGCCTCCTTGAGGGAGCGAAACGAAGAGAGGAGGAAACGACGTATCTCTACGTCACGCGCCTCGTCGGCCTGGTTCGATCTCGACCTCTTTTTCCAAAAAATACGGCCGCCCATTCAAGATATCGCCTTACGAGTAGTAGGGATTGTAGCGTCCCGCCCACACCTCCTGCATTTTTTTTTTTAATCCAAATTTTGGTTTTCCATCTCTTTAAGGGTGAATGGAGTGTATTCAAAAAGGAAACCCGCCAACGACCCTTTTGCAAAAATAAACGAGACAAAAAATAAGATGCAAAAGTAAGTAAAAGGTTAGTACTGATGGAGGAAGGGACGGACTTACCAATAGGCAGAATAGGCAGTTGCCTAGGGCGGCAGATTATTGGGGCCGGCCAATATGTGGCCACCTCCAAATTAATTGGCTTCTTTTTTTTAGTTTAGCTTTGAATTTAGTTAGTCAGGAAATTCTACTTCCAAATCTAGCTACTTTTGAAACTTTCAACTCCAAACTTCCCATGGTCTCTGACCATGGGGAGCGGGGCTTTAAAGGGAAGGGAGGCACTGTTAAAGATTGCTTAGGGAGGCAAAATGCTAAGTCTGTCTGCCTTTGGATGAAAATACTGTCAAAGTTTATTAATCACGACGTACGTTTCGAGCGGGGGCCACTCTTTATCAGGTGAAATATTGACAATTCGGGGGGGGGGAGTCTGAAGTGTATTTTGGAGAGACTGAAGAAAACTGTTTCACACTTCGGGGTCATTTGCAATGTTGTGTCTCAGTAGTATACAACCGCGCACGCTCCTAATTCAACCACGACGCCGCACAGACGCACTCAGAAAGTGGAACCATGCGAACAGCCGCGACCAATGCCCCGTCGAGATAGATTGGCGAGCGTTCCCGCGCGAGCCGCGTCGTGTGTCGGCCCAGCAGCGCCCGGCGTTCCCATTCCGCCAAAGTCCTAGATGGACGAGAATCGAAGGGGGAAAACGCGGTGCCGCGCCAAACAGTTTCTGCGGAGACGACGGAGCTGGGCCGAACGCCTCGGCGCCATGGGCCAAACTCCGACGTGCGCAGAGCCCCTCCCGAAGAAAAGGACACCGCAAGGTGGGACGGGCCACTCACCATGATGCAGTTGGTCTTCCCGATGGCCCACAGGTTCACCTTGTTGTCCTCGCCTCCGGTGACCATCACCCTGCCGGATTTGCGGCCGATCGCCAGACACTTGACGGTCGAGCCGTGAGCCACGAACTCCTCTGTGGGGACGAAGAACATGACGCCAGTCAGTTCAGAGAAGAGAGAGAGAAAAAAAAAAAAAGGTTCGTCAAGGCAGTTCAGTTACATGACCGCCGATTTTGTCGGACACCATCGTTATGATATCGATAGGAGGCACGCAAAAAAGGTACCCGTGAACAAAGAGCAGCGGTATTGTGATCCCCAAACTGCAGCCCTTCGTTGAGTACTGTGACCCGTTGTTCGCTGTTTCAGACACGTTTTCACCGATGTTACCGGCTGGAGTTGCGTTCGTACATGGCTAATACAGTAAACTCCGATTTATTACGCCGATTTACGGCGAGAATGAACACGCAAAACAGGACACGTCCCACTTCATTCGGTCCATTTTCGTCAGGGGCGAAGAAGAAATTTCGCTTTGTTTTTGTGAGGTTGGTACCTACCACCGCGCTACCATTTCACTAAAAACTTCCCCGCGAAAAAAAAAAAAAAAAACGAGAAAAACTTACTTTTAGTTTACAAAATCGATAATTCAGTTATTAATAAAACTATACAGAATGGGCATACTATACAACGTTTTGGTACAAACCCACCGCGAGTACACCAGAAATGGAAAACCAAGGAAAGAAATCGAGGCGCAATTTACAAAACGGAGATCGCGCATCGCAGCTTACTGCGGCGAGAAACCATGTGCTCAAAAATAGCCTCTTCTCCCAAAGCGCGTCCAGAAAGCCGCTGATACGGCGCGGAAGGTGCAGCAGGCCAACTCAACTCCGTAATTGCTCTCTCAACAATACCGTAAGACGGCTCAGACCTAAAACCACGCAAAAATTCCCATTCGAGGAGGCCGACACGGAAGAATGGAACTAATCTCGCGATACAGAAATAGCGCACAAAGAGGGGAAATTTTATATATATATATATATATACAAATCCCGAAAAAAAAGCACTAAGAAGAAATGATAAAAAGCCAACCTCTCCCCCCCTTCCCCCCCCCCCCTCCCCAAAAAAAGAAAAAAAAAATGGCCGCAAGATGGATTCAACCAGTTTCTGCAAAACGAGAACCAGATACTGCGTCCCACGCAAGAACGTGGTCTTCTATCGTGCTTCGGCTGCACGTTGCTTGCAGTCTTAACTCACGCACGGATGCTCTCGATGGTGCCTGAGAAGCAGCCTCGGGGGCAGTGTCATGGCTCGGGAAGGCGGACACCAAAAAAGAGACGCACCGTCGTTTGTAACGTCGCCGAAAGACGTGGGAAGCTAGACGAATAATAGCTTCGCACAGCGACAAGCAGGTGATCACATGAGGCAGTCTGAGGACACCGTCTCATATAGTCATAAACTGAAGACGAAAACAAATTTAAAACCGCTTTTTTAATTTATTCGATCATTCGAAACTAAACCAGGGCACCAGAGTCTCGCTTAATGCCCATAAAACGAGAAACGCTTGTCTTCAAAAACGCCCCGGAAAAAATCAGGAATAATCAGGATAGCCGATTCCTTTTTCAGAACAACTAAACTTAGCATGTCGCCGCTCACTCATAGAGTTCCCAAGAATTGCAAGTAAAGCGGAAGCAAACCACTCACGAGCGATTGCGAGGGGCAACGCGCAACACCATCGCGCATCGGAGGACAGCTGTCATACCACACCCGCGACGGGAACTGCTTTCACGGTTCAGATTTATCCGGAAATCTTAAATTTTTAGAGTCGTTTGTCGACAAATTTAGTATTTTCCTTCTTCTGCCACGATCGCCTTCTTTTTTTAAATTTTGACGTGCATGATTTGTCGGCATTGTAAGAGAACGCGAGAGGAGTATTTCGAGCAGTCATCTGATCAAAGAGAGGCGACACCAAGGCGTGGGGTGTAGCTAGTTTAACCTCGGACTGTCAAAGAGGAGTAACTAAATTAAACGAGGATACCAGAAAAACAAAAAAAAAACAAAAAAAAAACGAGAGAAACTCCACTGTAACGCGGGTCCTCTCGCTACCATATTTATTGAACATAGTTACCAGCGTCACCATTCGTAGTCCCCCTGCCTCGTGCCTCTTAACTACGTCAAAATTCATTTGCGTTCTCATGTACACATTGCGCTTAGTGTCCTCTGTCAGAACTATTGCATATTGCCAGCATTAGTTTTATCCTTCTCTTTATAGTCTTTTGCACTGGGCGAATGTCCCATATTTCCCAAGCGCTCTCTTTATGCCCGGTGGGTTTCCTTGGTCGCAATTTTTGTGTAAGGTCAGAATTAGCTAAACACTAAATTTCAAATTGAAGTTTTGAAGTATATACATTGATCCACCTTATGGTGGTGTTTTTACTACTTACTCTAACATTTTTGTGTGTGTGTGTTGAAATGCTTATATAGGCTCGTTCATTTTGTTTTTCCTGTTTAATATTTTTTTCCGGCCATCGAGCCTGCGGAAGATCCCTCATCCGGCTCCTTATCCAAAAGGTTTGGACACCCCTATATATCTTAATATATAAAAGTCAGTAAAGATGCAACTTGAGAGTGTTCAAACTTTACATCACCGTGATTTCCTTTCTTTTAATAATTAAACGAGACTGCTGATGGAGCATAGTTATGCGAACAAAAGCAAAACACACACAAGTGCAGAAGAAACAGATGTGTGAGGTCGTGAAAAAACTCCAGATAGTACGATACAAAAGAACAAAACAAAACAAAAACCGAAATGTCCAGTCAGGTTTCATCAAACAAATTCCGAAAACGCACTATTCCACTTGCTGCCGCTCTCTGTACAGTGAACACAGGAAGCAGCCAGTATTGACCGCAATAGCCTCGATATCGTTAGGGGGGTCAGTCGCTGCTGCTGCAGCTCCCTGGGAGAGGCACGAGGCAACGGCAACTCGCGTGTCAGGCACAATCATTACACAGAAGCGGAGCGCCGCATCATCCCGGCGGGGTGTAGCGTGAAGCAGTTTTGCCCAGCATGTGTCAATAGGGACGACAAGGTTGCGAACAGTCAGATTCCTTGTATCGACAACAAAAAGTCACATATGTGTGTCGTCGTTAACGGGGTGTTTCAGTGGCCGGACCCAAAGCATTCCCCGCAGGATATTTTTAGATCAGGTAACTTCCGAATGTGCGATTAGATTCCTTTCAACTTTCATTCAGTGAAAAGAGAAGACTGCAGTCAGGTGTTTCTTTTTTTTTTTTTTTCCTTTGGAAAGAAAATCTTGAATTTGATAAAGGATATGTTTCAGTGAACGTTGAAGATTGGCTCAAAATTAAGAAATCAATCATTCGGATTCTTTTTCAATGTTTTTCTTTACTAATAAACATTTAAATGGAACGAACACGGAGGGAATCGGTCAGCGCACTTCATAGCTGCGCGATTCGGAAGTTCGAAGCGAAATGCTTATCCCATACGCCCTTCCTAAAGCGACATAAAAGGTAACGACCAAGCCCCAATCCCGACCTCGCGTAGAATGATCCCAAAGCGGCAAGCTGTTCGGAACCGACAGGTTTTCCTTATCTCTTCGTCCTGGTCCGTCATCACGTTCGACCGAACATTTCCCTGGCACTGTCCAATACGCGACCAGGTAGTTCAGAAGAAGCATGTGTTATCCGCACGCTGCCACGCAACTCCATAAAAAAAAACGGCACGCCGCCAATGTACGTGTAAGAAAAGCGTGGACACCCCCGACCTTGTCGGCAGCCAGAAAAGGTCCTCTCCGGAGCCGTCAGAAGAGCACAGAGCGCCCGTGCACAGAAAACAAAAATACTAAAATAAAAAAGCGGGGCAACGGCAGCTCGGAGAAGCGGAGGAAGGACGAGCGGTTACGATCCGACGCGGAGTGCCAAGGTCGCGACGACTGACCCGCATCCCAATCCATAGCCTCTCGGGACAACTCAAACCCGGGGCACGTTCCCGTACGCTCGTACACGAGTTGGTTTCGCCGCAACAACGCCTAAGCGGCCACCCAAGGCCCGCGGTCGAGCGTAGCAGCGCGCGCGAGCGGTTTTCCCCCCCCGGGGCTCGAGCCCGGGCTCGTCCTTGACCACTCTCTGGGGCCGCTGCCCAGAGAGTCAAGAGAGCTCGCGTCGTCGACAAATCAAAAACGCGGTCGAGAAAGCGCCGACACCGAACACTCGGTCAGAACAATTAGGCGCCGCGAGTGTCGAGGGGCCGATTGACCGGCGCGCGTCGGGGACTCGCCGCGGGGGGCAAGACTTCCTTCCGGAATCAATGCTGCGACCACGGGCCGGAAGATGCGCCCCTTGAGGACAGGCCACGAACGGGGACCCGCGACACCTTGACCCAGTATGTCGACTCGCAGTCGAACAGGGCAGCGATTCCTGGGCGCTTGCGGACAGACCGCCTCACTTGCACGACCACGGCAAAAACGCCGCGGGTGTTCCCGCAGCCCGGGGCATTCGCCGAGGGCCGTGCCTGGCGGGGCGGCGGCCAGCAACGGTGCATCGATCGCCGTGGCCGAGGCCACGCCGCTTGAGCGCCGCTTACCATTACGGCACTAATTAGACGCGAGTGTCAAGGGGCATCGCCCCGCTGCTACCGGCGCAGGTTCGCCGCGGGCGGGAGTTCCCCCTCCCCAATTAATGCCGAGTCCGTCCGTGCCAAAGAACTCGGAAGGCGACTCGATTTCCGAAGGGAAAGACAAACAAACAAAGCCAGGAAGTGGATAGACGCCTGTTCTCGAGTCACGCAGGTGGGAGACACTGCAGGTTTGTGTGGAAGTGACGAATCCGAGAAATCGGCAATAAGATAAAAACCAACAAAACTCCCCAAGAAAGAAAAAAGCTATAGAATCGCCACGAATCTACATGGGGACCATTCAGGAGACAACTGCAAGGCATCTATATCCCTCTAGATGTGTCTTTATTACTCTTCTTCCCAGCAGTTTCGTCACCCCCCTCACGAATGAGGCAAAGTCAAATTTGGGCGTTTTACGTGCCAAACCAGCGAAGGGGCATATGGCATGCGTAGGACTGAGAATTCATTTCGACGGGGTCTTTTGGCGTGCAACCGAAAGCTGTGTTA